GTGAGTGAGTGAGTGAGTGTGTGTGTGTGAGTGTGTGAGTGTGTGTGTGAGTGAGTGTGTGAGTGAGTGAGTGAGTGTGAGTGAGTGAGTGTGTGTGTGTGAGTGTGTGTACAGATACACAAACCCATGAACAACAGCTGTCTCTCACTAAACACACATTATTAGCATAACAAGTTCTGAGACACAGCATACAGTATATGCAACATATGTAAGATGTATACGAGCGGAGTGTTACATATTATACACGAACACGTTATAAAAACGCCAAAATGTAAGGCTTAATTAAATAAACGCGTTGAGAAGATATTATCAGACTGTTAACATCACACTTTGAGTTTAACGCATTAAACAAACCTTTACAATAGCATTCGCACTTACCAAAGCAGTGTTCTGAAGGTTCGTTGATCTCTTTTGGGTGTTCTTTTCCGAAAATATCAAACCAGCTGAGAACAAGTACAAGTGTGTGTGCTACTTTTGAAGCGATGGACACTTTGTTTCCTAAAGTTGCTCCCGCACCCACATGAAGCCCCAGCGCGTGACGCAACACTTCCCGTGCGAAGCTCATGAATATTAATTAGGCAGCGCTGACGTTACTTAGAGACCTTCCTGGAGAGACCACCAGTAACGTAATTAATATTATAATGAGTCCAGCCTCTACTATGCAAATCATCTGCCTTTCAGCCAATCAGAAAGGATCATCTGCTGAACGTCACGTTGCGTGCTTAATATTCATGAGCTAGGACGAGATCCTTTGCGCCACTTCACGAAAAAAAGCTTTAAATTGATTTAACTAGTGGCTTCTGCATCTAAAATATTGTTTTAAATCGGTACAAGTTGTGCAACAGGCTCTCGAGAGCTTTCAAAGCTGTAAGTGGGTGTGTACTGACATCTGGTGGGGTAAATGTCAGAGGTACACGATCACTTACATTGTTAAAAACTATCTCTTTGGTTCTTAATATAATGTGTTGCCTGCTTCAGCATTAATTCATGTTTGCACATTATGTAAGAGATAATTAATGAGTCTCAGCATCATATAAACACTGTTGAGAAAAGCTCGTTATACCTCTTAATTTTTTTGTAATTATTATTTTAAAATTTTATATATTTTTTAACTTACATTTTTCTTATTGGGAACTTTTTTAATTATATTTTTTATTTGTTGATTTTTAAGGATACACATCTTGCAGATTCTGCAGGGATGCAAGCTTAATTTAATATTTTTTTTTGTCATTTTCATTTTGTAACTTTTTACAAATGTTATTACCAATACTTATTTTTTTACATTTTTATTTATTTTTCAATGATAAACATCTTGCAGATTCTGAAAGGATGCGAGCTTCATTTAATAACTTTATTTTTTAAATGTTAACTTTTTTTTTATATATATATAATTCATTTTAATTAAATAATAATTAATTTAATTGTATATATTATATTTTATATATTGTTTTTTATAACTATATATATATGTGTGTGTGTGTGTGTATATTTATATATATAATAATTAATTTTAATTAAATAATAATTAAATTTTATAATTTAATATATTTAAATGTAATTATTAAATTAATTTATATATATATATATATATATATATATATATATATATATATATATATATATAAACAAATTTAATATTTATATTTATATATATATATATATATATATAATGGTGGAATCTTTTTGTTTATTTGCAGAGTCAATAAGGCATTTTATTAAGGATCTTTTAGTGACACCATGTCCAAAGTATATGGAAATAACAAGCATTTAACAGCGGCACATTCAGACTCTGTTTAACGTCAGTCTTTGGTCGCAGATGCATCTTGCTGTGCTTGTTGGCCAGCTTCCGCTCTCTGCTCCTCTGGGTCAGGCTTGAGGTCTTGATCTGGTGCAGCTGCAGGTTTTCTGGGCGCCTCAAATGCAGGCCTGTAGATGTACACACCTCCCAGCACTCCAACCAGAGCAGCAAATGCAATCTGATTAAAGGGAATCCGTCTTCCAAACATGATCTTCTAGTTATGAGAAACAAAACATCCCTCTGATGAAAAGAAAGAAGACAGAAGAAAAGTTTATGAAACGTAATTGTACTCATGGCATTTTGTAGAGCATATATTGTGTTGTATGCCTGCTGTTTACAGTTAAAGTATGCATGCATTAAGTACACACTACACCGTGTGCTACACTACACAAGCTAGTAGCATACGGAGGATGCAATTCGATAGCATTCAACACATGTATATCTTAATTTTTTGTAATTAATATTTCTACTCACCGAGAGGTTTTCAGTCTTTCATTACAACTGAGAAGTGTGCACTAGAGTAAAACACATGCAGACAAGGACGAGCGAAAGACTACGGCAACTCGCGCAGGCCAAATGCGACGCATTTTTTTTTAAAAATCATTTTTTTCGACATATATTTATAAGACGACGAGTCAGAACCCATTTATATAAATCACGAAACACGTTTAAATTAGCTTAAAATTATTAAATGCCAAGCGTTAAATGTCTGTTGTTGTGTCCTCATTACATATTCATGAGGTCCTGCGTGACGTCGACACCCAAACACGGAAATGAAGCTCGTCTCCACATTAAAGTCTCAGTAAATGCGCTTTAAAATGAACCCACGCGGCTGGAGTTAAAATGCAGACGTGTGAACCCCACCAGAGGCCCATGTGGAGACATGGAGAAGATTCGAGAGCGATTCGAGCAGAATCAGCGAGACTGAGGAAGAGGAGCTCCATTCTCTACAGCACAGATGTCAGCCAGCCTCAAACACTCAGTGAGAGCTACACTACAGCTACATGTGCTTTCATCAGAAGACAACAAGTCATCTTTACTCATCTTTAAACAGCACTAACAGAGAATAGAATAAGCCAGGACCTGTAAACGTGAATATTCAGATTTCCTTGAGTACTGTCAATTTAATTCATCTTAATATCTCAAGCAATTTTGTGTACATCTTATTTGAAATGATTAAATTAATCACGAAACAGGAATAAAATACTGTTCAGACAAGTTCAGGTAACCCAAAATCAAAATATATGAGACCATGCATTTTATTATTTAGGACAATTGTGACATTATTATTATTAATATGACAATTAAGTAGGTTTTCCCCACAAAAAGTCTAATTTCCACTTGCTAAAAATGTAAAATGTATATTTAAATGGTGTTTTATTTCTTAATATAAATTTTAATTGTATTTATCATATAAACTATTACTTCTCAGTTGTAATTTATCAGTCATGGTAGTATGTCTTGCACTGAAGTTATTCATAAAATGCACTTATTTTAATCATAAAAACTGTAATACGTAATTTTTTTTTGCATTTTGTCAATTTTCTAAGTATATTTTCCTCCTAAATTCTCATTGCTGCATAATAAAAATTTTAAATGTATATTTAAATTGTATTTATCATATATTTATTGTATTTAAACTACAGTATTTATCATATATTTATTGTATTTAAACCACAGTATTTATCAAAGAGGATAGTATAGCTTGCAATGAATTTAATATGCTGTTAATGAGAATCTGGGGAATGTATATATCTAATAAGACTCAAACTTGAACCAAAATGAAAAGTAAAACAGCATTATATAATGATTAATCAGCATTATATTGGCCATCAGCCATTAAAACACACTGCCCACTATTACCCACACATGCTAATATTAGAAATGTGCTCTAACTATGTGAATTCTGCAGAATTCTTTGGCTTCAGCATCACCGTGTTCACGGTCATATTCCGCCTGCTCAGCTGTGTTCTGGTCCAGACCAGCTTCGTCCCGGATGAGTACTGGCAGTCGCTGGAGATTCCCCATCGAATGGTCTTTGGATATCCTTGTTCATGCACCGAGCTGTACAATTAGTTTAGCTTGAATATAATACTCAAATTAGATCCTTAACATATATCTCACTTACGGCTACGAGACGTGGGAATGGAAGGAAGGCATGCGGGGATATTCTTACCCTCTCCTGTTCGCTCTGATGTACAAACTCCTGCATCTGATGAACTATGACACGGTTTATTTATTGGTGAGACTTCAGTGTATTGTATGGACGGCGGGTCTGATTGTTCTCTAACATGAATACCGGTTCCTGCAGGTGTTTGTGCCGCGTGTTTTCCAGGCGCTGCTGGCTGCATACGCCGACGTGAAGCTGTACAACCTCGTCCTGCGGTGGGAAACTCCAGATGTGGCCAAATGGACAGTAAGATGACAATCTTAAAGGAATGGTACACCCAAAAATGAACAATTGCTGAAAATGTACTGTCCAGGATGTAGATGAGTTTGTTTCGTCATCAGATTTGGAGAAATGTAGCATTGCATCACTTGCTCTGCAGTGAATGGGTGCCGTCAGAATGAGAGTCCAAACAGCTGATAAAAACATCACAATAATCCACAGCACTCCAGTCCATCAGTTAACGTCTTGAGAAGACAAAAGCTGAAACAAATCCATCATTAAGATGTTTTTAACTTCAAACCATTGCTTCCTGTTAAAACACGAGTCTATAATCCATAATAACGCGTCCTCCAGTGAAATGGTGGAATCCATCTTCTGTTTTCCTCTCACATCAAATCAAACCACGTATTTGTTTAGAGCTGTTTTGGCTTGTAAACGGCGCTTGATCTGTGCAGATTTCTCTCCTGATTCAGACCAGACCACATTTTCACTGTATAAAACATTATTATGGATTGAGGACTCATAATCGGAAATTTTGAAGTTAAAAATGTCTTAATGATGGATTTGTTTCAGCTGCTTTTGTCTTCTCCAGATGTGAACTGCTGGACTGGAGTGGTGTGGATTATTGTGATGTTTTTATCAGCT